TTGTTTCTCTGGCAGCCATGTTTGATTTTTAGGGTTCCGTTTCCAAAGTGGAAAATTGGGAGTGTATTACTGGCCCACACAAGAGTCGCGGACAACCTAACGGGTTACCGGGGCTCCGGCTCGACGTGCAGGAGAAGGAACGGGGTGGTTATTAGTCAGTAAGAGTCTGACACTCACTCTCGCCTCACCCAGGCGGGAGTAGCGATTCGATGATTTTCCGCCCTTAAAAAAAAATATTACTGGCCCCCATAGGATACTCCGTTAGACTCTGATGTCCATCTGTCGGTCACTAGGCTTTAGCTTAAATCATTTTGTTTTGAGGGGGGATTAGTCGTCAAATGACTCTTCTCGTCCTGGTTGAGGCGAGAGGGAATGGCAGACTATTACTGTCCAAAAACCACCCCGTTCTTACTCCTGTTTCCAGCTGGAACCACGATAACCCTTGCGGTTCTCCGCAGCCCAGAATAATGCTATAGCTAAGTATATTAATAGATGAAATTTTCATACTGCCTCGTTGGCCGAGTGGTCGCAAGTGCGACTGTCGGGCAAGGGGTCTCGGGTTCAATTCCCGGCTCGGGCAAAGTATTAGGCAAAGTATTATTGATGGGTTTGTAAAAACCTCAGTAGTAGCACGAAATCTGGAAATGTGCCCGGTATATGGCAATAGGCTCACCCCTTATTACATGGGACTCATAACTTTAATAGTGAAAAGTGGGTGTTACATTGTACAGTGGCATAATGTGCACATCTGCCTACCCCTTCGAGGATAAAAGGTGTGATATTATGATGATGATGATGATGATGATAATAATATGTACAATATTTCTGTTATCATAACAAAAAAATAATAAAAACAAAATAAAACAAATAGGTAAGCACTTGAGTGGGGTTTCCATAAACATTTCTTATTGATACGGAATCTGTGCTCGAGTTCGAATCCCTCTTAACCAGTTTTTTGTTTAATATTGTTCTTTAATTCGTGGCCTAATGGTGTTGAACACGAGTTAATGGCTGGCCCCGCTGCGTGGACTACCGTTTGATCGACTATTAATTTCAGTGGCACTTCAATATACATAGTATAAAACAAAGTCGCTTTCGCTGTATGTCCGTATGTATGCTTAGATCTTTAAAACTACGCAACGGATTTTGATGCGGTTTTTTTTCATAGATAGAGTGATTCTTAAGGAAGATTTGTATGTATAATACATGCATATTGCACCCGTGCGAAGCCGGGGCGGGTCGCTAGTTGACTATAAACTATTATAGTTTTTGAAGATACCATGTTGCTTTGTATATGTGTCTTCTAATGGCAGTGTGGTCAGTTTTTAATTAGGTGTCAAGTTGTGGCCTTCAAGAGATTTTTTATTTATTTTGGGTAAAGGAACAGAGGATTTTGATGAACGACGTGTATTTTACCAACATAATCTTCATGTACTTATTGCAATAGAAGTTTACCCTCTCTTGATTAGTAATTAAATTAGATTATAATTGTACAATGTAGCCTATTTATATTTGCAACACCAAAGGTGTCACGAGTGTGTTGCCGTCCACTCATACATAATCGTGTGTGGGAGAACCATGCTTCGGCACGAATGGGCCAACTCGACCGGAGTGATACCACGGCCTCACAGAAAACCGACGTGAAACAGCGCTTGCGTTGTATTTCGTCGTGCGAATGAGGTTAGCGGAGGCCAAATAACTCCCCCTACCCAATCTCCCCAATCCTTGAATCTGCTACAATCCTCAAATTCCTAATCTCCAAAAGGCCGGTAAAGCACTTGAGGAGAGAGAGAGGAGAGGAGTTTGTTTAATTGGGTCATTTTTTTAATTACATTAGAGACAAAACACTTTTTATGGGTACACCTTTGTCCAACCTTTAATGGTACTTATTCTAGGATCAGTTGCGCGTTGCTTACCAAGTTAAATCAAGCCAATTTTAGTACATAGCAAAACATGTCCTATCATTCAATCTTAAAGATTGTTTTCAAGCAAATCTGTTATATTTTATTATATCTATTTTGAATATTGGATACGGTGATATGGTTAGAAATTAAGTTGTATCAATTTTACGAGTTGTTTCCTATTAAGATGTTATTTTTATGTGCTTCGGGCCACCTGTGATGTTACAAATGCTGACTTTAGGCAACTTCTTATAGTTTTATAGGTGTTAAAGTGTCTTTACATATTTTTTGAGTTTTGCTTCAGATATACGTAGTTTACATTAGAGGATAAAAATGCTTGGGTGCAAGCTAGCTCCACAGGATAACGAAAAACATTGATGTTTTAATGAAATCCAAATATGTAGATAATTAAACTGTCAAACACCAAGCGGTCACCGGTGACCGCAACCTATTGTTCTTTAATTGTGTCTACAAAACCGGTACTCGACGAGTTAATACAGCTATGGTGCTCATTTGTATATTGTTAAACTTACATAATCATTGTAAATGTGAGAGCCCTGTAATTAACTAAATATTAAATTAGACTAGTAGAATACGTTTGTGTCAACTTGGAGTTGTCATGCTCACTCTAAGGACACCGCCAATGAGAATTGGCGGCGGCACGTGCAGTGGATCGCTCGATTCCCTACAATATGGTTGAGTTGGTGTAGGTACGTGTCGTGTTCGTGAACGGGCGCCGTCAACTGGGACTGGTCAGCTCCAGACTGTATTTTTTTACTGTCCTTTAAGGTTATTTTTTTCGATCTCTGATTATATTTTAGTGTTACATTGTTCTCGCACAATCCAAATAACAAAACTATGTACCTAACTAGAAAATTGTAGATATTGTGAACCTTATAGAAAAAGAGTAACCTATAGAGTTTCTTGCTCGTTCTTCTCCATAGGAATCTACACTTTGGAATGAGCAAATCGTTTATTTATTATACTTTTTTTTTGACGTTCAAAAGTGCGTTTCTGGTTAAATTGAAATAATTTATTTTGACTTTGACTTTGATATAGGATTAAAGTTATTTTTGTTCATTTACGGGACTAGGCTGAGATGTACGTAGACCTACTTTTGATTGCTTGCTATTTAGAGGTAATTATAAATTTCATTTTTGTAAAATAGGAGTACCTATATTGCTAAATACAGCCTAAACGGCACAAATTCAGACATTGTGTCACTATTAAGATATTTTTTTAAAACCGAAGAATATTCAACAATCCTTTGCGCTCATCCCGAAAATCAAACTCGACGCGTCTTGTTATTCAGTCGCACTTACGATAAGCAATATCAAACTCCGTCCTATTCCCAATTCCTGAATCCATATAAATATCTAATCCAACATCTATGATCGTATAATCCATCCCAAAAATCGAAACTAAAACCTCACATTTAGGCTATGAACTCACGGTGCGATTATATCCCCCGCCTGCCGCGATTGCGGGCCCGCAGCCTTTGTAGTATATAGACATAACATGACATAACATCAAGACTTTTTATCCCCGAAGGGACAGGCAGAGGTGCACACTTCGGCACTTAATACCACTGTACACCCACTTTTCACTATTTTTGTTATGGGTCCCATGTAATAGGGGGTGAGCCTATTGCCATATACCGGGCACAATTCCAGACTCCGTGCTACTCCTGAGGTTTTTAAAAACCCAGTAATACTTTGCCCGACCTTGGATTCGAACCCATGACCCCTTTTGCCCGGCAATCGCACTTGGGACCACTTAGCCAACGAGGCGCGTTGTACGCCCGCGGCGGTTGCCATTGTTTGCGGCACCCGCTGCGGCGGCGGCTAGCACCCGCGCGATCTGCGATTGGTTGGCAGGCGATCGCAATGGGACGGCCGGTCTGGAGCGATAAAAAGCTGGAGCGAAACGGGCAATAATCGCAACCGCAGCGGTTTTTTCTTCTCCTCTTATAATATCTTCTGATTCACATCGTTGCGGGAACCAAGACAGTTACTTATGTCCCTGGGACGCGCCGGACTTCAGTGTTCCGGTGTTTTCATGGTTGTATCTACTGTAGATCCTGGATTGCAGGAGTTGCAGCGGTTTTGGGATGTTGTGGCGGCCGGCGGGATTGTCCCTTTCAAAAAAAACCGCTGCGGCTACGGGATCGCAGTAAACTGATTCCGCCTCTATTCCGCCATCGCAGCGGGCGCGCCGTGAATCCTTAGCCTTAGCCTTAATAATTACAATAAAAAACAACAAAAGCTGAACATTGTAATATACAGAATCATACGAAAGACTTATTATATGCATCGTCATTTCACATCGGATTTGTAGAAAAATAAAAAGAACTTTAAAATCTCTAGAACAAGTTCTCGAAGATTTCATATTTTTTAAACGGGATTGTTTTGAATACGGACTGTTTGTGCGTCGTCATCTCGGGAACGATCACAGATACAAAATTGTTGAGTTTGTATTGTTGTGTATTTGAAACTTGGTATTTGGATTTAGTTTTTAGTGTATGAGTAACTGGGTTTGAGTCTCTGTTGGTCAACATAAGTTGAGGCAAGATTTTGAATTTTATTTATTTATTATTGAAATAAAAAACGTGTTATATTTTTAAGTATACATATTTATTCATAAATTACTCGGTCACATGATATAAATTAAATTATGTACAATTAAATAATACAGTTAAATTTATATAAAAATAATTATACAGATTTTGGTGAGCGAGAGTCGCAAGTCGGGTCGTGGTGGCGGCGACCCGGCTAGGGACCCTGGCCATCAATCTATGCCAACATTTATAAACTCAAGCTTTTTAAAATAAGCTGCATATCTGTTAGGAGAGGACAATAAATAAACAAAAAATAACAACGGATAATAGTTGACAAATAAATAAATAACATTTAAAAGTTAACAGTGACTAGAGAGCGTACGAGGATTCGAGCTTCCAGGTCTTCTCATAGGCATTCGACAGGGTGTAACACTTAACGTAAATTGTTTATTAATAAATAATAATTTAATATAATGTAAAAAAACTGCTTTACACACTAACGACTCCGAATTGTATAAAAAAATCGTTACTCATACTCAATATTGTTTCATCCAGTTATTTTTGTGTGGGTGTTCCGCAGGGTTCCGTGTTGGGTCCCATGCGGTTTCCCCAGTCAGTCCATAGTTTAGTGGTCGACGACGTTAAGGTAGAACGCTGCGAGGGCGTCTCCCTTGGATCCGACGGCGCGGGCCTGGTACTGTCCGGCGTCGTCAGGGCTGCACTTGACGATCTCGAGTCGGTACCTGGAGGTACCCTCCATCATGAACTTATATCTGGCAGAGGTCTCGTCGATTGGTTTGCCGTCCTTCAACCATTGAAGCTGGAGTGGTGGCTGTGGATGGAATATTAAGATGAGTAAAAGTTTAATAAAAGCATATGAAACACTATAGCGCGATATCCAAGGTCTGTGGGGATAGATAAAGACAAATTAAATTACGATCAAATGAAATGGTAAACTAAAAGATGATTTATTTATATTGAGTTGTAAACAAATAGTTTAGGAATGAGTAGTTTTTAGTATCTTACGTACCTAACTAGAAAAACTGCTTTAAATGTATTAGACATTGCCATTAGATTGTCATGTCGTCAATGTACTAACCTTATCCAACTCAGTGGTGAAGACAGCAGGCTCAGCGTTGCTAACGGTGGCGGAGCTGGGGAAGGCGGTGTAGTGGGGGGAGGGGGCAGCCTCGCCCGGGACACGAACCACTAGGGAACACGACGAGAACGACTCGCCGGCGTCGTTGAATGCCTCGCATGTGTATACGCCTAGAGAAGATAATAGAGTTTTAGAAAATGATAAACTGAAGAGATATTTTAGTATAATGGCCCTGGTAAATAATAGCGTCATAAGAAACCGTCTTAGAAACTGATTATTCGAATTTATTATTCTTCTTGCTGCTTAATCAGTTTTTTTAGTAAATGAAATAAAAATCTTTTTACACTGTTAAACTGTATTATAACCGAACAGTGCCATCTATTTTTTTCATTAAACATTACAAAAGTACATAAACAACGCCCTCTATGCAACACGTTACGTACTGCTTAAGAAAGCTCCACTCGTATGTATAAGCAACCACTAGTCAAACGACAGTAGTTGCATTGAACTTTGTAAGTTATACAACTTGACAACAGATGGCTCTGTTAACAAATATAAATGTGATGTACATTTAAAGCTCTTGTGTTGCAACTTATCCTGTTCTATCTTTTGGAAATAATTGTTTTACTAATTTTGTTTGTGAATTTATATGAATAAACTAACCGGCATCCTCAGGGAATATTTCAGCAATGTGTAGTTTGTGTATGTTGGCCTCGCTGGAGTACTGGAAGTCCTTCGATGGCTTGATCTCCTTGTTGTTATGTAGCCAGATCACGTCGAAACGTTCCGCGTTTGTGATTCTGGTTGGATAAAATAATGTTAGCATTAATAATAACATTAACTTTGTTAGATCCAGAACTCGCATTGTGCTTGGGAAGTTATAATGAAATGACTAACGTTTTAAAACTGATTGACTGCGGGAGTATTCTTGCTCATTCTTTTTCATAGGAGTCTTAACTTTGGGGCGAGCATATAGTTTCAGTAGATGACCGAGAGACACAATTTTATCTTCAAATGTTTTTTTTTTACTTTCAAAAGTCTATTAGTCTATTGAAATAAGTGCTTTGTGTATCTGTAATTCTGTACCTGCAGGACAGCGTGACGGCGTCTCCATCGTTGACAGTCTGTGACACAGCGTGGTCTACTATTCTGGGAGGCTTGTCGCCTAACTTCACTGCTGCAACCGTGCTGCTTTCCATTGCTATAAAAAATAATATTCAATACATTATGAACATACTATTACATAACATTATGCTTTACCCCCGAAGGAGTGCACATTACGGCACTCAATGCCACTGTATAATGTAACACCCACTTTTCACTATTTAGGTTATGAGTCCCATGTAATAGGGGGTGAGCCTATTGCCATATACCGGGCACAATTCCAGACTTCGTGCTGACTAAGTTTTAACATAATATTACTTAACTATAAATTAAAATATAAAAAATTGTAACTCTATTCTATCAATACAGCAGCAGATACTATATTTTCCAGATTTCGTTCGATACTGAAAAGATTTAAAAAAAAAACGAATAAGCAGACTTCTCAATAATTGCACTATAGACAACTTAATTAAAGAGGCAAGCAGAATATATTATTATTTTTTTTGGTATTTTTTTATCATAGTACTCTGTTTATGAGTTGATAAAGTTTACAATAACATAACATAACATCACGCCTTTTATCCCCGAAGGGGTAGGCAGGGTGTATGTACATACGGCACTTAATGCCACTGTACAATGTATCACCCACTTTTCACTATTTATGTTAAGAGTCCCATGTAATAGGGGCTGAGCCTATTGCCATATACCGGGCACAATTCCAGACTCCGTGCTACTATTGGGGTTTTTTAAAAAAAAACAGTATTACTTTGCCCGATCCGGGATTCGAACCCGAGACCCCTTGCCCAGCAGTCGCACTTGCGACCACTCGGCCAACGAGGCAGTCAGTTTACAATAAATAACAGTGATACATACGTTTGACAGTGACTTTGCACTTGGTCTCAGTCTCGCCCTGGCTGTTGATGGCCTTCAGCGAGTAGATGCCCTCGTCTTCAGGGAACACCTCGTTGATGGCCAGCGACGCTACTCCGTTCTTGTATTTAAGGTCTACAACCTGGGGAAAATATGAATATTTATTAGTAATAATGTGGAAGTTCGGAAGAAAACGAAATTAGCAGGAATATTTTTCAATCACAGTTTAAATTTAAAATGAACTATGATTAGTTTCTCTGTAAATGGCAAAAAATATTTTTTCAAATCGACCTTTAAATGTCGGAGATATAGATATAGCATAAACAATAAGGGTGGTTACTTAACCTTCTCCCTTATTTAACTGACTTCCCAAAAAGGAGGAGGTTATCATTTCGGCTGTATGTTGTTTTTTTGTTTAAGGCCAGTTATTAGAGTTTAACTTATGTTAAATATGATTCTTGTAGGAAACTTTACTTTTAAATCATCGCTGAACAAACCAAAGTACTTGAATTTAAATTCAGTTCTGACAAGAACAGGTGTTTACAAGTCAGTTGAAGGATCGATTGAGGAAGGTGGATATTGGCCAGGGGGCTTACTCTTGAATCCAATTCCGATCGGTCGACATTGGTATTGTGAAATTTCATACTCTTGAGTTGCAACACTAGCGCCCGGTGCATTCGTATTGCGTGGATATTAAATGAATTAGATTGTATTGAGTGTGGTTTTATATTCCGTACTCTAAATGCTATTTTAACACCTATGATAGAGATTGTATAGTGTTGACATTGAATAATTATTGAAATTTTATTCGATTGAAATTGCATTGACATTGAGAATGGTTTCAAGAATAAGCACCCTGTTGGCATCTGGAAACACCAGCATAAACTAGAATACGTACCTCGGAGGAATGCAGCGGCTTCCCGTCCTTGTACCACTGCACGCGCGGGTCGGGGTCCCCGCGCACGGCGGCCGACAGCAGTAGTGGCGCGCCGTCCTTGGCGCACAGCGCGTCCGGCAGGGACCGCGCGAACGACGGCCCGCACATCGACGAGTCCGACGCCGGCACTGGGGGGGATTTAGACACCACATTCAAACGGAGAACGGGATGACAAAACCGAGCGCTTTCAAAGCCTTAGCTATTATTTGACAATAATCAATTCAACAATAATGTTTTAAACGCTACAAATGTGAGGCTAACTTTCTTTTTAAGCTTCTTTTAGCTAAAATTGTCATTTATAGTTTTGTACAGTTGACATTCATTCTAACTACAAGAAGGTTTCAAATGGTTTTTGGAAATAACCCTTGTTCTCTTGTAAATACATCTAGAAGTCTATAATGTTGTGACTTACATATAAGCTCCTTTGTAGCACTCCTGGACCTGGACGATGTGTCCGAGTCCAGTCTTGAGAGTCCGCCATATTTCTTCTTGCTAGCTTCTACTGATGTCTGTGGTGAATACTTTGGTCTGGGCGCGGTCTTTGCGGGCGGGTCGATCGTTACCTACAATGGAAAATAAGATTATTCGATTATTTTGTTAGGAAAATATTTACAGTTAATGTAATCGGACACATTTAACAACCATGTATGTGTGATACATGCTTCGTGTTTCGTAATGTACGATTTACTGTCACTTGCGCTAAATATGACAGTGTTAGAGCTAGGTTTGCGCAAAATTTGCGCCAGCTCTGAAGTGAAATATGGTGTATAAAGATCGTTGTATATTTTCAGTTTTACTAATATTTATCATTCAGATTTTACGAATAAGAAAATCACAAATGAAGACTGAACGCATATTGATGGAAATCGGCAATTTTCGCCGTATGATTTTAATAGTTGCAGTAATATATTAGACAATCAAAATGGAATAAAACACATAATAATTTTCTGAGATTGCGAAGAATGCATTAAAACAAAATGCAATAAGATAAAATGGAAACATTAACAAACAGTTGCCATGAAGATGTCATGGACACTGAAATTAGGTCCTTGGTAATGTCGATTTTGATAGTGGCACATTAAGTGTGGAAATCTATAATTTTTCTAATGTTTTCCTTTGTTTTGTCGTTGTTTACCTGTTCTTCTTGTTCATTCTTTATATTTTGGGGACGGCGACGCTAAAATATTAATGTTAGAAAATTAATATGGAGAATCTTCCACGTCTAGTTTATAGTATGGTTTGGTTACGTTTTTATCGATCCGTGTACATACACAAAGTTTATTTTGTATAATTAACTAGCTTCTGCCCGCGACTTCGTACGTGCAAACCCCGTTTTCTCCCGTTCCCTTAGGATTTTCAGGATTTTTTTATGTCATAAGTACCTTCTCCTGGCAATAACAAACACAACAAAAAATCAGCCAAATCGGTCTAGCCGTTTTCAAGTTATGGCGTGACAACAGGAAACGGGTTTCATTTTTATAGATGTAAAAATAAATGTTTTCGCCCCTTATAACAATCCAATACGCTGTTACCAAAAAAATTTAAACATGTACGATACTAAAGTCGTTATCTTACCTTGGTCTTGGTGATGATCGGTGGCGGCGCTGGTTTGAGTGGCTTCTCAATGTAGCGCCTGTCGCCGGAGTGGAGGAAGTTGTGGATCATCTGTGCCTGCTCCGGTGATGTCACCTCGCCTGGTTGCAAGACAGGGATAGCGTTAGGATATTTGTAAGTTTTGTACTACAAAATAGGCTTGAATTACATAACATAATATCACGCCTTTTATCCCTGAAGGGGTAGGCATGTTACGTATCGGTGCCGACACATGTACCTACACCGTGATCAACGCCGTGTCATCAGGCCCAGATCTGCTGAATCAGAACATTACACCTACTTTGATGCAACGAAGGTTCTACGGAGTATTGCAACATTCGAACTGCTGAGTCGTCTCCTCTTGTCGTCGCCTTGTGCCCAGCTACGAATCGCTGCATCATCGTTCACCCCACTAGATTTAACCTCAATAAAACCTTCATACTAATTTTATAATAAAGAATTTTAAGATAAGAAAGCAGTGTTGTTCTAACATCGAACGCATTCGCTCTTAGGTTAGTTAGATTTTAGGAATTATCATGTAATTTTAATTATAATAAATTTAGTAAAATGATCATAGTTTCCATTTGCACCCTCTGTCGCTGGCACAAACATAACTGGCAGAGGTGCACATTATTATGCCACTTTTCACTTAAATAGTGAAAAGTGGGTGTTACATTGTACGTTACATT